TATATATTCATTCATTTTTATATTTTTTTATTTTGCAACCATTTTTTTAAATAAATGTTACATTTGTTGCAAAATAGAACTTGAAAAACCCCTTGCAAATTTTTTTTTTTATTTTTTTTTTTCCAACAATTTTTAAAGTAAATGTTATTTATTTGTTAACACTTGAAAAAACATTTTTAAAAATAAAAGAAAAATAAAACAATGTTTTAAAAACATTATTTTGCAACCATTGCTATTGTTATTGTCATAAAATAATGTAATTTTTTGTTGCAAAACAAAACTTGAAAGATGTATTAAAAACATTAAAAATATAAAAATACCTTTGCAAGGGCTTTTAAAAAAAAAAATTGTATTGTTTTTTCCATGAATACATTTATTTATTATATTTTTTAATATGAATGGGACACTACCCCTTTGTTTATTTTCAAAGAATCTGCCTGTTTCAATCATTAATTTGTTATTGTGTGCGTTCAAATCAATAAAGCACAGCACTGCTAAAGTCCACTCGAGTAAAACCTGAGCACTCATAAGCCCAGAGCTTCACGGCTCCAGCGCTACAGCACAAATCACTCACGTCCCCTGAGCAGGCAGCAGCTTAATTGCCTGTCAGGCAATCATGGTATCAGGGAATTAGAGCTGGAGCCAGTTACAGTTACACAATCCTGTAAAGTGAAAGATTATTGCCAGTGTGCTAAAGGATATTAACTGTGCTGGAGATTAAATTTAAACTTGTTGCACACAAATATCTATTGAATTTGAACCAGTCAAGAGTTTGGACACATCCACCCAATCTTATTTTATTACTATTTTCAGCATTTTAGGATAATAGTAAAGCCATCAAGACAAATTGAAGTATAGGAATCATAAAGAGACTTATTTTTGGGTTTCTTATTTGTCTAGATTACAGCTCTGCTAATTTTGGATATTCATTTAACAACTTAATGAAGTGTATCCTGGAAAACAGTATTCAATGAGTTCCCATTTGTTGGCTTTTTTTCCATCAATAGCTGGTCCAAATCATTCATTTAAAATAAATAAATAAAATAAAATAAAATTACATAAAAAAAATAGCAATTTAAATAAATAAATAAAAATGTAATTAAAAAAATAATTAAATAATTAAAATACAAACAAGCACAATAATAAAATATAAGAAAATGAAAAATAAATTGAACAATACAAAAAAATAAAAAATAAAACAATAAACAGACAAAATAAAATAACTAAAATAAATAATAAATAAAATAAACAAAGCAAACAAATAAATAACAAACAGCTGTTAGATCAAATATGTTTTTCCTTTTCGTTTTCAAAATTTACTTAAGTGTGTCCGAACGTATAACTTGTAGTGTGAACAAACAGGACGGGTAGAGCACAAGTTGTGCTCTTCACTGTTCCCTCAACAAAAATGGCAGAAACCTTAAAGGGGTCATATGATGCTGCTAAAAAGAACATTATTTTGTGTATTTGGTGTAATGAAATGTGTTTATGCGGTTTAAAGTAAAAAAAACACATTATTTTGTAAACATAAAACCATGTCTGCATTTGTGATCGGAGAAATGACAAACAACAAGTGCTACTCTACTGCCCAAAACTTGTGTTTAAATCATCAGTGGCCACGAAAAACACAGCGGCCTAGCGTGAGGGGAAGCCCCGGCTTAGCGTGCGCTGAGGCCGGGATAGAGTGAGCTGAGGCGGGCTGGACTCCGCTTTGTCCACGGTGAAAGTTGATGTATTCCCTCAGCAACCAGCACAGATCAGCTCTAGGCATGACGAAGCGGATATCGTCCTCTTTTGGAAGACCAAACAAAGTAGTTTCGCTTTCACAATCAAGCACACAGCGTCTTCACAACATGGCTGCAGCGTCATACAAAACTACAGCGAGACTAAAAGTTACGCCTTCTTTCTTTGCGTGAACATTTGGGCGGCGTTATGCAAATCTTCCCACATAGTGATGTAGACATGTGGGGGCGTGTTAGAACGAGCCGTTTTAGGTAGGCGTGGTTAACTCTTAACTTTTATAAAGAATATCTCTTTGGTTTTGAGACTTTAGTCTTTGCAACTTTACAGATCTTCTTTATGCACCAAGAGCTAGAAACACTCCAAAGAGAAAGGAAAAATTTAAATCGCATCATATGACCCCTTTAAAACAGAACAAAAATGGCAAGAGTTATATGACTAAATGGAAATCGTACTTGGTTCCTCAGACCTGGTGTGAAGAGTCTCTTTCTCTCTCTCTTTACTCCTCCATGAGTTAATCATGGTAGTAATGATGGTGAGGACAGGATATCAATGCTGTGTAGAGTTGATCTGCCAGCAGACAACACATAGTGACTTCTAAACCATTGACCACACACACACGCACACACACAATCACCCAGGGATTGTATACTGCTAAATGACCTTGGTACGGATACACTCTCAAATAGGCTTGTGTGTAAGATTGCAGATGCACAAACACACACAGACCTGAATTGTAACCACTGAAAGTTGATAGAAAAGCAGTTACTTCTTTGTCCTGTCATTCATTCCTTCCTCTTTTGTCTGTCAGGAGGGGTGTTATGGGTTTCATGAATTTAGCCATAGTTGTTAAGACCTGAATTTCTGGGTTTTGCATTGGATCAGCTCTTCTGACAATACAGTGTTTACGGCACCACTATTCAACACTGGAAAATATGTTGAATTTATTTTATATTTGATTTACACAGTCTGAACTGAATGTGATGAGAGAGAAAGACTGACAAAATAATACCAAGAAACAACATGTCTATCTATCTGTTGGCTGCATGCAAAAACAAACAATGCGATCAGTGTAGTCTGATTCTTGAACAAACAACTCATGAATTGTCAGTTTCAATCAGTCTCGCAAATTACTTGTTGAATCTGTCACAGTATGGCGTTATTTTAATGACAAATGTCGAGAGCGCATAATTGTAGCGCGAAAGCACATTAATATAATGCGCGAGCGCGAATCTCTCCGTTTGCATGCGGATTTCCTTTGCTCTCGCACAAAACCAGATTTGCGCGCTCAGATACACGCTGCTCTCGCCCGGAGAGAGTGCACGCACTTAAAACGTGTTTCTCCTCTAGCTCAAAGTGTGCGCGCTCAAACTGTGTCCTGTGCACTCGCAAATCTCTCTATGCTCATGCAGATATGAATTCTTTTTGCACCTGAATTAAACGTTGACAAAAGTTATCATTATGCACTTTTAAAAAGTAGCCTAGTCTCAAAACAGATTTGTGCAGGGTCTTTCCTTGATTTTGTATTGTTGTATTTTAGTTTGAACATAAACTGGTTGTTGTAGCTACTTTGTTTTACTATATCTCTTTTATGTTTGTATTTTGATATTTTCTGAGAATGTACATATGCATCTCTTTGTAAAGTAGGCTACTTTGTATACACTGTTTTAAAAGGTGCTATATAAATAAAGCTTAAACCAATCAGACCTTTACAACTGACCGATGAAAATACTACGTGAAATCTAATTGGCTGAGTGAACTGAACCTGGAATTCTTTTGACAATCAAAGATGGATCTTTAATTTCTTTCCAGTTTAATAATATTTAGCAATGTTAATGAAATGTAGCCTATAGAAATGGCTAGGAATTGGGTGCTTGGATGATTTGTACATATAACCTCTGTCCAACTGGTTGGACTCTGAGCAATTTATCTAAAACAACATATTATAGCCTTTGGCTCTAAAGACTTCATATAAAACATCAATCAATTATGTCATAATATGTCAGATACCTCAACTCATCATTGCAATAAATTCTCAGTTAGTATGGCAATAATAAGTAACAACTCTTCAAATCAACATCAAATCCAAAAATAGATGTAAATGATGGAAGATATAATACAATAAATGCTCTAATAGCATCGCTGTTTGGACATTTATTGGGAGTTTTTTTTTTAATCCAGTGTTTGTTCAGTTCTGAATATTGTAAAGCACTTTGTAACATTGTTTTGAAAGGTGCTATGTAAAAAAATAAAAAACTACACACTTCACCTTTGAAGACAAACATTCACAACAGTGATTAAAATACATTCAAAGTGCATCGTTAGTTATAGATTAGGCTCCTGAATAACACAGAACCACTGCATGAGATTCAGCCGCCGTGTTTGAACTGCTAGTCAACTCAGACGTGGATAAACACACATCGATTATGTAAAGAGGTTCCCTCCTCTATGCCGCAGATTGAAATCTGTGTTCACTTAAACATAAAGATAGACACAGTTGAATAATCCCCGTCCTCGGGCTCCTCTTCTACCCCGCGGTGTACAGGTGACAGGTGTAGAGCCATGAAGAAGACGGTCAAACCAAACAGATGGGCAAACAGAGAGAGAGACAGAAGGGTGCAGAGAAAGACGGGACGCAATCAGGTATGAGTAAGTGATGAAGCACAACGAGAAACAAAGAGCCCAGGCAGACATGAGCATGCAATAGTGCGTAAGAGAAGTCATGAATCAAGAATGACCAAGTGACAGAGTGTAAAGAAAGGACAGCGCATGTTCAGATGGGACACGGCCCTGATGACACACATGTGGTGTGATTTGGATGCTGGTGTCTCCATCAGGCTTAACCAACACAAGGGAGAAATTTCATCAACAGCTTTGGCTGTAGGGGCACACCAGCGAAACATAATCTAAATCCATGCTGGTTTTTCAGCTGGATGCAGTGACATGATGGTATCCTAGACACGAATATTACGAGGATTCGCTTGAGGGCAAAAACATCAATCACATTCAGCATTCATTAGAAATGGAGAAGTTACTATGGAAGCATTAATAAAGTGACTGGTATAGCAACTGCAGTTCACCAGACAGACGTGAAGATCACAGCAGAAAACCACAGTAAAGACGGTGAATATTCACACATGCAGCACCACATGTTGGGCTTTGAAAAAAGTACTATTTAGCTGTGATAATTTCATTGACAAATAATTTTCGTCATAATTATCGTCAACAACATTTTTTCACCGACGACGACGAGACGATAACGAACTAAAACTCTTTTTGAATGACAAAAACTATGACATAAATCTATTGACATTTTCGTCAACGAATAAAAAACGAGACGAAAATGTTAGGGAGGGACGATTTGGGGCTCGGAGGTTATGCGTACATATGAACCGGACGGACATAAGCTAAAAAGCTACACTTGCTGCACGTCGCATAAAACGTTCAAAAAATGTCAATATGTGGGAGTAAGAGAAGAGCAGACATATGGATAAATCTGACGACGCAAGAGAGAGAACTCAATTCGGTTTTCTGAGCGCAGACACTATACACACAAAACGCGTCTCACAGCGCGCGAGTACTCTTTCGCGTCGCATGAACGGAGAATTACACACAGAATTATGTTGAATTGTCCATTTTGACGAGTATTCACGTAAACACAGTTGATCAAGTGAACGTAAACAGTAGGAAGAATGTGTATCAGTACATTGCATGCATTGCAGCCATGCATTCGGTTTTAAAGGGACAGCAGCCTAATTTAATTGCTATTGTTCGAGTCATTGATGTTAATCAAGCAACAAAAGACAGAAAATCACTCACTGCTCTTGACTGAAAAACTTTAGTAGCCCTAAAGATTAATCAAAATGTATTTATAGAAATAAATATGTCTGCTTGAAAGAATGAAGAATATGGTAAACAAGTTGCCTATATAATCATTGGCATTTCATTAAAAAGTAGACCATGTTCTTGTTCTTTGTGAGAAGAGGTTTTATTTAATTTTAACATAAAGGTATGTTGTGTGTCACCGCAGTTAAATCGGTGTCTATCATGATAAAACCTTAATATCAAACCTATATAATGAGTTTGGAAATTTTAGAGAAATGCTTAATAAATGCACTGTAACTAAACCCATTAGATTTTAGCCGACTAAATTTACTGTAGATTTAGTTAACTAAAATCTTATGATATTTAGTCGACTAAAACTAAAAACAATTCAGATGACTAAAATATGACTAAAACTAAATGGCATTTTAGTCAAAAGACTATGACTAAAACTAAATCAAAATTTGCTGTCAAAATTAACACTGCTATTATAGTGAAGTCTTTCTATCTAAAAAGCATTAATGCAATGCAGCATTTTTATAGTCTTGCTATATTTGTGCCTCATAGAATTCAAAGAATGATAAACAAAATACTGATATGATACATGATATGATATAATGCAATAACATTTTTTGAATATATTTATATATGAATGTATATATATGCACCCTCTATCTGTCACCCTCTTAGAATTTTATAATTAATACAATTGCATTTTAATATAATTGAATATAAATTATGCAAAATACAGTTTCAAAGGGGATAAAATATATGCACCCTCTCTCTCAACTTTTTTTGAAAGCCTGACTTCTGTATAATTTTAATCTTATAATATAACCTTATTTGAATTCATATGAAAATAATTTATATAATTCATGCAAAATATAGTGTCATAGAGGGTGAAATATTTGCACCCTCTCTCTCAACCCCTAACTTTAATTGTATTATTAATATAATCTTATTTGAATTAATATAATTAAAGTTATGCAAAATATAGTTTCACAGTAGGGTAAAATATATGCACCCTCTCTTTCTTTCTCTACCCATTTCTTTCTTTCTTTCTTTCTTTCTTGAATGCCAAACTTCAGCTTCAATCATATGTTTATTATTATATATTATGGTTTATAATATGGATTATCAAAATAGTCAATCAGTACAGAACCAAAAAACCCAGTCACCCATTACCACCTGTTTACACCCCTGAATCCAGTTCAATATAGTCTTGAGGTCAACACGCGGAGCACATGCATGAAGTAAAATCAACTAATCAACTTGTAGGATGAGCCTCTAAAGACATTATAACAGTGGTAGGAGCAAAACAGCATCATGGGGAAGTCCACTTAGACTGACTAAATAAATGCATTACAGCTTAAAGGTGAAGTGTGTAACTTCACACTTTCTCCAGCCCCAGTTTAGTGTGCAGAGAAAACTTATGTAGCTCAGTTTGTCTGAGCAGCTTCAGACTGCTTTGAAACTCTCGTTATAATTGCAATTGCATTTGATGCCACTAGTGCCGCTAAAATGACAGACTTCACCTTTAAGATCAACATTCGTAATATCCGTATAAACTGGCATTCGATACTCACAGGAACGACTTGACATCCATGCCTCTGTTCCGGATCTGTCCCATCGTGTGGTCCCAGCTTCCAGGATTGGAACGTGATTGCGCCCCTCCACCCGACCTGTAGCGGGACGCCCCTGCCCCAGCCGGGCTACCACGCACCCCCCGGGGTCCCCCCCGGTGGCCCCCACCCCCGGGCCCAGTGTGCAGTTGGCCCAGACTCTGGGAGGTGGCTGGGGGGTCGTTGGGGCCTGGCGGGGGCTGGTGGGTTAGGGGCTGCTGGAGGCTTTGCTGCCTGACCAGGGGCCTGGGGCGGGCTGCTGAGGACGGGATATGCTCCAAGGTGGAGGTGGTGGAAAGAGAGGGGTCCCCAAAACTGGCACCGTATGATACGAATGGGGCCGAGTTGTGGTGAGAGACGAAGACGAGAAACAGGGACAGAAAGGAAGTCACAAGATAAAGGGAAGAAAAGGCATACACAATTAATGAAGACCAGAGAGACCCAAGAGGAAGAGGGAGAGGAAGCCAGACATGAAAAGATGACAGAGTGAGTAAGTGTGTAGGGACACAGAAGAGAAACAAACAAGGCCATAGAGTTGAGGGAAGGTAGGGTAGAGAACGTGAAGGCGAAGACATTTTAAGACATCCATTGGGGGAGACAAAGGCACAATGAGGGAATGAGGAAAGAAAAAGAAAGCAAAGTTAGCCAGCAATATTAGCAAAATGAAAAACATATACACTACATTACACCCCCCCCCCCACCCCCCCTTCCACCGACAGGGTGACGGTGCTGATACTGGAGCCTATGCCCAATCTGGAACCAGTAGGTAGTTACGTCTTTTTTAAGCTGAAGTCTAATCAAAAATGTTGCACTTTATTGTGATCTTGTTTAGCAGTGCCAACACCAAGATCATGGGTTCGATACCCAGGAATTGACCTATCGGTAAGCCCCGCCCCCCTTAGTTACAGTTGCGAACTCGGACAAACAAACAGAATTGCTAACTGTCTTACTATGACAGCTGTCAGTGTGTCTCAAGATGTTTTTGATAAATTTTGGACACAGAAGGATTACCATTCAAGTGGGAATTTAATATGCCATAGAGATATATAAAATATTTTAAAATAAATATGGTGGGTAACGAGATTAATTTGGAAGCAAGGGTTTACAGATCACAATGCAAGTGATCGGGAGAAGCCTGATTACGGTCGTCATGATCGCAGATGACAACATCCATGATTCATGTTGTACCGCAGGGTAAGATTAAATTAATTTACATTTAATCCGTTTAATATGGAGAGGCACTGAAATGTAGACCTTCGTTTATGTGTTTTTGTACGTTAGCATGGACTCTTAGCTTTAACGTTAGCTAGTTTTAGCCAGAGATACCTTGCTGAAGCACAAGATGACATTAACATTCTACTTGAGCAGATGAAAATTGTAACTTAATGAGAGACAACCAGAAAATGAACGTTTTTGTCTTCATTGGGATTGGGGTTTAATGCTTACGGACATTTTGCTCCGGTTTGTTTGGGTTTAGGAAATAGAATAAAATAAATTCCATTGCCCATCCTCTCAGGATACCTGGAATCAGTGTTACAAGTACCCCAGGCACATCGTTTTTCCATTTTTGTAGCATAAACACCATCAACACGATGAAAGATTCGGATCTTCCAATGTTTCTCTATGGCGCTGAAACCTAAAGATGTCCGAGTTCCGCTCCCCGTGCAGCTGATACCCCGCGCAGCTGATACCCAACGGCCATTGGCTCATCTGCATTTGAGGGGAGGGGCTTACCGATAGGTCAATTACATGAACTGTTGAAATGGTTACCTTGAATGCAATGCAAGTTGCTTTGGATAGAAGCGCCTGCCAAATGCTAGACTAAAATTTAGATCAATTTCTAATCAGGCACCAAATAGAGTACCCCCAAGAAGGATAGGACCTTGCACCAAACTGGTTCTGATGATATTCACAGTTCCTCCAGGACAAGCCCCTGCACCATTTCAATGGAAAAGGGGTAGTTGTATCTCTTTTGGCATGATCTGACAAAGGCGCATGTCTTGTAAACCCAACTTCTTTCTGCTAAAGGCCTCTCTGCATCTTCCAACATTTCAATTCAATTATAATTTTTATCCGTTCGACCCCTCCCAACATCTTCCTTTGCTCTGTATCATGTCTGATTAGTGCAAAGTCTCGTTGAGCTCCCCCACCCCCCCTTCCACCGACAGGGTGACGGTGCTGATACTGGAGCCTATGCCCAATCTGGAACCAGTAGGTAGTTACGTCTTTTTTAAGCTGAAGTCTAATCAAAAATGTTGCACTTTATTGTGATCTTGTTTAGCAGTGCCAACACCAAGATCATGGGTTCGATACCCAGGAATTGACCTATCGGTAAGCCCCGCCCCCCTTAGTTACAGTTGCGAACTCGGACAAACAAACAGAATTGCTAACTGTCTTACTATGACAGCTGTCAGTGTGTCTCAAGATGTTTTTGATAAATTTTGGACACAGAAGGATTACCATTCAAGTGGGAATTTAATATGCCATAGAGATATATAAAATATTTTAAAATAAATATGGTGGGTAACGAGATTAATTTGGAAGCAAGGGTTTACAGATCACAATGCAAGTGATCGGGAGAAGCCTGATTACGGTCGTCATGATCGCAGATGACAACATCCATGATTCATGTTGTACCGCAGGGTAAGATTAAATTAATTTACATTTAATCCGTTTAATATGGAGAGGCACTGAAATGTAGACCTTCGTTTATGTGTTTTTGTACGTTAGCATGGACTCTTAGCTTTAACGTTAGCTAGTTTTAGCCAGAGATACCTTGCTGAAGCACAAGATGACATTAACATTCTACTTGAGCAGATGAAAATTGTAACTTAATGAGAGACAACCAGAAAATGAACGTTTTTGTCTTCATTGGGATTGGGGTTTAATGCTTACAGACATTTTGCTCCGGTTTGTTTGGGTTTAGGAAATAGAATAAAATAAATTCCATTGCCCATCCTCTCAGGATACCTGGAATCAGTGTTACAAGTACCCCAGGCACATCGTTTTTCCATTTTTGTAGCATAAACACCATCAACACGATGAAAGATTCGGATCTTCCAATGTTTCTCTATGGCGCTGAAACCTAAAGATGTCCGAGTTCCGCTCCCCGTGCAGCTGATACTCAACAGCCATTGGCTCATCTGCGTTTGAGGGGAGGGGCTTACCGATAGGTCAATTACATGAACTGTTGAAATGGTTACCTTGAATGCAATGCAAGTTGCTTTGGATAGAAGCGCCTGCCAAATGCTAGACTAAAATTTAGATCAATTTCTAATCAGGCACCAAATAGAGTACCCCCAAGAAGGATAGGACCTTGCACCAAACTGGTTCTGATGATATTCACAGTTCCTCCAGGACAAGCCCCTGCACCATTTCAATGGAAAAGGGGTAGTTGTATCTCTTTTGGCATGATCTGACAAAGGCGCATGTCTTGTAAACCCAACTTCTTTCTGCTAAAGGCCTCTCTGCATCTTCCAACATTTCAATTCAATTATAATTTTTATCCGTTCGACCCCTCCCAACATCTTCCTTTGCTCTGTATCATGTCTGATTAGTGCAAAGTCTCGTTGAGCTGTTCCGTTTGATGCTAATGCTCTGCTGGAGGATTTACAGCACCAGGGTTAAGCACCACACACCCCTATCAAGGTCCCAGTGCTGTAATTCTCACATGGCATTCAAGTGAGGCGTCCCTGGTGAAAGTATTTGTGAAGGGAATGAATGTCAGCAATGACTCAAGCTCTGCTACTACTATGCTTTTTATACACTTGTCAAGGTTGCAAAAGCAACGGCGGCATGTTAATGGACATGAATTCATGTAGATGGGTTAGAGTTGGTTGTAGATGATTATTAGAGTTGGTGAGTAGGCAATTTCTTACTATAGGCCATGACGTGATTTAGCCAAGTAGGACGAGTTCCTGAATCAACATGCTTTGATAAACTATTACACCATCCAACCAGTGGCGTACCGCACATCTGTGAGGCCCCTACGCAAAGAACGAGATGGGGCCCTTCCCACCAGCATATGTATGAAAATGTATTGTGCACTTGCTGCAACATACTACTGAGTCCGTCTCATGCTCATGCCGTCTCACCCTCATGCTAAAATCTGATTGGCTGATAGAAATTTTGTTCCAGGTCTAACAAGGAAGTTGGTCCATGCACACGTCCTATTTTAAATCACGTTATCACGTTATCAGTTTCACACATGACTGTTAGATAAATATCTTTCCATACATTAATCCATATATATACAGTATATATGCATGTATGCAATGCAGTATATCGCCCTGCACTTATGCCCATTAAGCAGCTTGAGCTGTCATTAAGTAATTTACATTCTCCATCTACTCGTTTTCTCATCTCTGCTTCAGTTCTGTGTGTTATAAATAGGTTTAGAAAGCAAGGAAGAAAAAAAAGTGTGGGGGATGTAGACTCAGTCGAAACAATGATCAAAGTGAGAAAATACAGAAGCAAAAGAAAGCGCCAAAGAATGAAAGAAAAATACAGCTCTCCAAATGAAGTTTCACTGTCTTTAGAGTAAAAAATGAAAGGTTTTTCTCGTTTTATTCATCTGGCCTCTAGCCCTCACCAGACATGAATACTGTGTGAAATTCGACATTAAAGTACAACTGCTTTGTTAAAGACTGGGCTTGAAAAAACAATTTTAGCCAATTTTATGCCAGTACATCCTCAGATGAATGTTAAATATTCAGTGGCTAACTGAGAAACCGTGCATCACATTACTGATGCTTCTGTCACATCCTCTGTAACGCAGCAGCAATTTCATATTAGAAAGTTATAAAGGATCTTATCCTCTCAGGGCTATAACTAAGTTTAAGGTGAGACTAGCAAGTGCATTGATTTATTAAAGGAATAGTTCAATAAAAAAAGAAAAAGAAAATGCTGTCATTATTTCCGCTTTAATTAAAAAGAAGAGTGGCTATGATATTTATTCAAATCAAATAAAATATGAATGATAATGGTTTCAACTACAAAATCCTGAGGAAACATGTTTTAAATAAAATGAATTAAATATGTAATAAATGAGTGATAAAGGTCTCAAATACAAAATATTGATACATGCTATGTTAAAATAAAATAAAATAAAAATCATTCTCTGGACGACTCTCAAAGCAGTCCAGACAAAAACTGACAAACTGATCTGCACTTTTCCAAACACGGGTAGAAGGAGAAGAGTTGGCGATTCTCAGAGTCCTCCAGCAAATCCTTGAGCTTTAGCAGAATCCTGTAGCTGCTTGTTATTACAGAGCTTCAAGACATCAGGTGACGGAAACCCTGATGGAGAATGTGTGTATAAGACGGCAGGTGCAGGAGTAGAAAGACATGAGGGGAAGGGTTACAACTCTGCTTGCTATTTAAAGGAATAGTTCACCGGAACACTGTATCATTATTTACTCATACACATATTGTTCACATACACTAACATTCAAAAGTTTGGGGTCAGTTAGACAAGATTTTTTTTTTTTAAATACAAAATTAAAACTTTTATTTAGCAAGGACTCATTATATTGATCAAAAGTGACTGTAAAGATATTTATAATGTTATAAAAAATTTATGTTATAAAAAATTTCACATTTCCCACAAAATATTAAGCAACTGTTTTCAATATTAGCCTAATATAATGATTTCTGAAGGATCATGTGACACTGAAGACTGGTGAATGAAGCTGAAAATTCCATTTGCTTCACAGGAATAAATTACATTTTAAAATATATTAAGATAGAAAACAGTTATTTTAAAATGTAATAATATTTCAGAACATTACTGTTTTTACTGCATTTTTGATCAAATAAATACAGCCTTGGTGAGCATAAAATACTTCTTTCAAAAACATAAAAAAACCCTCCATGTGGGGGCCAATGATTGAATTTTGTCAAACCTGGTTTTATATGTCAACTAATCTTATGACTTAGGATGACTATGGGCTACGACTGGGTCACAGTCGATGTATAGAAAAGAGCACTATGTAAATGACAAAAGAAAAATTCACCCAAAAACTAAACACAGCCGCATTTGGTCATGCTTTTTTGTCCCAAACATCTCAAAGAGACTGACACTCACTTGTCGGGTCTTAAGCTGCCGGAGTGCAGGTGGCTCTGGACAGTTTGCCACCTGCCGGACTTGCTGGTCCCTGCACCTATGCAGCTGTCACTGCGACTG